AAAAAAAAAAAAAAAGGACCTTGTCCCTTGTGTCATGAAATCCAGCCTCTGATCAATGCTGGGCAAATGTCACTTTCCCCTTGCCATGTATAGATGGGTGTTTGTTATAGCATTGGCTGAGCCCTTGACCCTTTCAGGAATAGAAAGTGACCGCTTACTGACATGTGGACAGGGATGCTGACTGGGGCACTCCTGTGCTGGCCCTGCAGCCTCTGAGTAGCCTCTGGTTCACACGGGGCATTTATTTGATAATTACTTCTGAAGTGATAGATGTTGGGTTTCCCAAGAAGCTTTCAGAATAACAGAGCAGGGAGAGAATGGCTTATGTTCTTGATATGAGGAATGAAACGTGATGACTTAAGAATATAATTGAATAGCCAGGCGTTATGGCAGGCGCCTGTAGTCCCAGCTACTTGGGAGCTGAGGCAAGAGAATTGCTTGAGCTCAAAAGTTTGACGTTGCTGTGAGCTGTGATGCCACGTACTCTAGGGTGACATAGTGTCTCAAAAAAGAAAAAATACATATATATGTATTTAGCTCAAATCTCAATGCTGGATTAATGCTGCCTAAAATATTGGTGAACAATGCTATGGTGCCTTCTACTTTTGTCAGATAGGAACTGCCCCCCCTAGTTTGGCCAAGATGCCTGTTTGCTCATGGTGATGTTTTTATAGCCCTTGAGCACTGTCCTGGCATGGTGGTTTTCATGCACATTCAGGAAAAGGGAACTTAAATGATTTGTCAAATAAGAGTTGTTATTAGTCCACAAAGCATTTTTATTATTATTATTTTGTTAAATTTTTTTGTTGTTGTTACAGTTTGGCCGGGGCCGGGTTTGAACCCACCACCCTCGGTCTATGGGGCTGGCGCCCTACTTACTGAACCACAGACACCACCCCCACAAAGCATTTTTTAAAGTATGACTATACCGGGAATTACAAATAAAATGACGCTTGGAATAAGCATCATTAGGACTATCATAAAGTCTGAGAAATAGCCTCTGGGCCTCGTGGCTCCTTAGCACTCGTGTTGAGCAGCACTTTCTGAGGGCCTGGCCGAAACCATCGTAGCCATGAATGTCATCTTGCTAAATCATTCCTCCTGCTTTAAACTCAAAAAACCTCAGTTAAGGTTAATTTTACCCAATATCAGAATTGTTGCGTGCTATATTTCTACATGAAGAAAGGCCTTATTTTAGGGAAGGTTTTTAAAAATAAATATCTAACTGAGTATTGTATATTAATGAAGAAAATACATCCATTTGAAACTTATATCTTAAGGTAACGCTTTAAATTTTGTGAAATTTCTTTTAAAAATAACTGGCTGTGGCTCGGGGCCTATAGCTCAACCGGCTAAGGCGCCAGCCACGTACACCTAAGGTGGCAGGTTCGAATCCCCAGCCCGGACCCGCCAAACAACAATGACGGCTGCAACCAAAAAATAGCCGGGCGTTGTGGTGGGCGCCTGTGGTCCCAGCTACTTGGGAGGCTGAGGCAGGAGACTCGCTTGAGCCCAGGAGTTGGAGGTTGCTGTGAGCTGTAATGCCATGGCACTCTACCCAGGGGGACAGCTTGAGGCTCTGTCTCAAAAAAAAAAAAAAAAAAGACTGATTTTAGGGAGAGATTCCTATAGAATGTCTCTTAAACATGAGAAAGCAGAAATGAGTAAGTAAGGAAATATATCCAGACTCTATAGCAATAGAGTCTGGAAGTAGATCTCCCGGTATGGCAAGAAGCTGAGTATGTGAGTGTGCCCCTCTCCCCCACAGGGGTACACTACGTGTTTGATACGACGATAGCTGCGGATTTTAGTATCTTGGAGAGTCAAAAGGAATTTGTGCGTCGCTATCACCAGCACAGTGAGAAGGAACGCGTGCTGCCCATGCTGACCTCTGCCTGTCCTGGTGAGCCCCCAACATCATGTCCATGCCCTGGGCACCAGTCTCTAGAGGGCCTGCAGGCCTGTCCCACTCAGCCTCTGGAGACCAAGAGGAAGGTCCTTGGCCTGTTGTGGTTTTATGTCAGCCAATGTATTTACTAAATGTGGGTGATTTGGGGGTTGGGAGAGGGACTTGACAGCTGAGTGTTAATTTCTTATTTTTGTTTATCCATATTATTCAAGTTTCTGAGATGAGGGTATTACCTATTAAGAGAAATCTACTCTCAAAAATAATGACATATTTCAGACATGTACATTAATTATAGACAATAACGTGGCAAATATTTATGTATCCTTTGCCAGCTTAACTAGAAATTACAGAATAAAAACTTTTTTTTTTTTTTTTTTGAGATAGTCTTACTTTGTCACCCTTGGTAGAGTGCCATGGTGTCTCATAGCAACCTCAAACTCCTGGGCTCAAGTGATTCTCTTGCCTCAGCCTCCCAAGTAGCTGAGACTACAGGTGCCTGCCATAATGCTTGGCTTTTTTTTTTTTTTTAGAGACCAGGTCTCACTATGGCTCAGGCTGGTCTCGAATTTGTGAACTCAAGCAGTCCACTTGCCTCAACCTCCCAGAGTGCTGGGATTACAGGCATGAGCCACCATGCCTGGCCTAAAAAATTTTACATTGATACTCAGTTTCTTTTTCTTTTTTTATTTATTTATTTATTTATTTATTTTTATTAAATCACAGCTGTGTACATTAATGCACTCATGGGGTACAGTGTAAAATATAAATGTCCTAACACAATAACTAAGAAAATGCCATGAAGGCTATGTTAACCAGTTTAATTATTTTTTGAGCAGCTTATCCTGCTTACCATTCTCTACATCCCCACCTACTTAATGAAGATACAAAAGTAAGAGTCTGTTGCTTAATAGCCAGTAGGTGACACTGCAGATTAACTGGAGGTCTAGGGGAAAATGTTTTTCAAAATCTGACATAATCTCATTGCTTCATTTGTGTCTGATCCACACAGATAGGAACTTGTTGAGAATTATAGAACAACCCTCCCCACTATCAGTTCAGAACTTATACAGGTGAAGCTAGGCCTCTATTTAAGGACATTACATTTTGGGTGGCACCTCTGGCTCAGAGGAGTAGGGCACCAGCCCAATATGCCAGAGGTGGTAGGTTCAAACCCAGCCCTGGCCAAAAACTGTAAAAAACCCCCCAAAAACAAATTACATTTTCCTATTTCCATACTAGAGGTAGTTGGAGTTAATAGATCAGGACCAGGAATGAGAACCTTTGCTCTTTTACTGGCCATCCCCTCATCTCAGCAAGTCCTAAGTGGGTCTCAGTTTTCTTGCTCCATATAATGGGTGA